GACGATCAGGAGTGATCATTTCGGATTGGTGCTTTTGGGAGTTTATTTTATTTATTTTCAGACTTATTTTTATCGTTATTTTGAGATTTATTATGTTATTTGGATTTACGGAGTTTGGAGATGATTCATGCAATTTAATAAATGGAGATTTCAAACATTTTTATTTATTTTACTACTTTGGAAAATGCGGGTGTTACAATTTGGTATCAGAGCGGGTTCCGTCCCGGCTCCGACCCGGGATGGCGATCAGTGAGGACTAGGTTTTTATCGGTTTTTATCTAAATGATTTCTAAAATGATTTTTTTTGGGACTTGGGAATTTTTAAAATAAAGACAACTAGCACCTCTCCGTTTAGTAACTTCTACTCTAATTATCTTTTATGTCGATGAGTAAAATCATCGTCATCCGTTCTTCAGCAAACAGGTTTCCGGCCAGAAATTCAGGTTACGGATGGATGATGTCATAGTTTGTCAGATTTCTGAGGCGTTTATCGGTTTCGTCGGTCGTGTTCAGAGATTATCTGCGAGTGGACATGTGACGAATCTGCCATCCACATTCAAGCTATCGCTTCACGAGTTTTGTTTCTGGAGTGTATGTGATATGTGATATGTGATATGAGTTATAGGCCATTGGTTGGCATGTGTTATGTTGTGTATGAGTATATGGAATTATGTGGAGGTATGTCTGGGTTGTAAACTCGTGGGGATCGCTTTTGAATTTGGGGTGCAGCAACTCGCATTGTGTTGATATTAGAACTTCACTTGGCTTTGGTTGCCAGTTCTTGATTATGTTGATCATTTCAGAGATGTGTCAGTTCGGACAATTGCCATATAGACGTTTGGAGCTACTTATTCATCGAGTTGTACCAGTTATGGTTGGAGTGATCAATTTATTTGAAGATTTCTAGGAGTTGAGCTTCTGCGATATTATTTTAGGATGCATTGGCTATTACGACATCGAGTAGCATTGGATTGTTTGTATTTCTGGAGCATAGGAGATTTTCATAGCCGTCATTTATACATGTTGAGGAATTCTTGGATGTAAGATCATATGGATATTTGAGACCATTTTGATGGTGAAGGACTATGGAAAGCACTAACTTCAGAACCTTTCAGTTACAGAGTATGAAGATGTATTTATGATCTTTGGAAGGATCATCACCAAGCATAGGAGACGCTTTGGCGATTGAAATGGAACGAAGGACGCCACCGGTTTCACGAGTTCTGTACTGATTAGCGCCAACAGAGATGGCCGAGCCTATGAACCAGATGGAAGATTTTTAGACAGAAATTTTATTAGACAGAGTACTTCACCATGGGGACCACTAGTGTTGTTACGACGAAAAATAGATGGGAGTTTCAGATTTGGTATCAATTGCAGAGATTTGAATAAAGTGATCATCAAGAAAAAGCATCCGCTTCTGCGTATTGATGAATGGTTGGACTAGCTGCTGGGAGGTTCATTGTTTTCAAGGATTGTCTTGGAATCAGTTTACCACAAGATTATTGTAGCTGAGGGAGATGTGCGGAAGACGACTTTCCGCTCAAGTTATGGGTATTATGGGATTATAGTGATACCAATTGGGTTGTTAAGTGCACCGTAGCATATGTGAAGCTTATGAATGACCTCTTTCGTGAGCACTTGGATAAGTGTACAATTGTATCTTTGGACGGCACCTCGATGTATTCTTGGAGTAGAGGAGTATTACGAGCATTTGCAGATTGTGTATTGTTGCACGAGGATCAGGTTATTGCATATAGATGGCGCCAGTGTAGACATACCGAGATCCACTACCCTGCTCATGGTTCAGAGTATCTGCAGTGGTATTTGAGATAAGATTTTGGAGATTATAATTGTTCAGAGAGGAAGTTCAGATATTCTAGGATCATCAGAGTGAATTTTATTTTCATTTATTAAAAACTTCTATTTGAGGCAGTGCAGTTGGATTGAGTTGGGAGCAAACAACAGTTCAAATATTACCTGTCATTTGGTAAGGTCAACCAGATGACAAATGCTTTGTATAGGCGCGATGTTTAGAGAACCAAGGAGGTTCATGAACTTGCTGAAACACTTGTTAGTCTCAAAACTTTGTGCGATTATTGTAGAGGGATAGACATCAAGCCTTGAGGTTTTGGAGCAAGTAGATTTTCTATGGAGATACGCCAAACACAGGAAAACAATACGACTTTGGTTATGCAGGTTGAGCCTCGGAATATTTAAAATCAGACAGTTTCAATAAGGGGTAGTTGTATCAAAATCGAGTGTGTGTATCGGACGATAATTTGTTAAGGAAATGGATCTTACAGCAAACACATCACTCGCGTTCTTTATCTATCCAGGAAACACCAAGGGATACAAAGATATGAAGTGTTAACTACCATTGGTCCAGAATGAGAAAGATTGTAACTACATTGCTTCACAGTATTGACATGTCAGATGGTTTTGTCCGGGATCAGATATCTTTCAGGTTATGGTTGAGCTTGTTTAAGGAAGAGTGGAAATGAGGCATGGGGATTGAGTACATTGTTAGTTCATTCATTGTAAATTGGAACTAGGGGTCTAGAGGATTCAACCGTTGATTGGATTGTGTGATGTTAAGAGATGATATATATATATATGTACATACATAGTTATGAGTAGGGACTATGTGGGAGGGCGGGGGTTCAGGGATGCCTGGACTATCGACGCAACTTTGGAGGGCGGGGGTTCAGGGATGCCTGGACTAGCGACGCAACTGTGTGGTGCGCGGTGCAGAGACGTTTGCATTCGGCGCAGATTTGGAGGGCGGGGGTACAGAGACATACTGTACTAGCGACGCAGCGTATGATATATATCCATATACGGAGATGCGTGGTGTGTGGTCTAGCTATGCACTTTCAGCGCATTTGTTTGTTCTTTGTGATGCCTTAGGTGTCTTGATT